GGGACACGGGGGACACGGGGGGACACGGGGGGGCGCTGCGGGGCGGGACAGCCACCCCGGGCGCTGGCAGGCCCCACATGCTGGCCTGGGTGCTCACGGGTGGCCCTGGGAGCTCCATGGGCACCCGTGGGTGGCCCAGGTTCACGGGTGGCCCTGGGTGCTCATAAAGGGTCCATGGGGCTCAAGGGAAGTCAATGGGAGGTCTGTGGGTGACCATGAATGTCCATGGGTGTGCTTGGGGTCTCAGGGAGCTCCATGGGAGATCTGTGGGGCCCATGGGTGGCTCTGGGTTACCTGTTGGTGAACATGGGTGCTCCATGGGTGTCCATGGGAGGTCTATGGTGTCCATGGTGTCCATGGATGTTCATGGATCCACGGGTGTCTGTGGGAGGTCCCTGGCTTCACGGGTGCATTGGTGCCCATGGGAGCTCCATGATGTCTGTGGGAGCTCCCTGGTGTCCATGGGAGCTCTGCGGTGTCCATGGTGTCCCTGAGAGCTCCCTGGTGTCCATGGCATCCATGGAAGCTTCCTGGTGTCCATGGGATCTCCATGGTGTCCCTGGTGTCCATGGGAGCTCCATGGTGTCTGTGGGAGCTCTATGGTGTCCATGGGAGCTCTGTGGTGTCCATGGTGTCCATGGGATCTCCATGGTGTCCATGGGATCTCCATGGTGTCCCTGGTGTCCATGGGAGCCCCGTGGTGTCCATGGCGTCCATGGGAGCTCCATGGTGTCTGTGGGAGCTCTATGGTGTCCATGGTCTCCGTGGTGTCCCTGGTGTCCATGGGAGCTCTGTGGTGTCCCTGGTGTCCATGGGAGCTCTGTGGTGTCCATGGTGTCCGTGGCATCCATGGGAGCTCCGTGGTGTCCCCGGTGGCGCAGGTGTCCACGGGGCTGCAGTGGGCGGGCGCGGGCGGCAGCCCCGCGGTGCCCGTGTGGATCGTGGTGCTGGCGGCGCTGCTGGGGCTGCTGCTGCTCGCGCTGCTCAGCTACGGCCTCTACAAGGTGGGGACACGGGACACGGGGGACAACGGGACACGGGACACGGGGGACATGGGACACGGGGGACATGGGGGACACGGGACATGGGGGACAACGGGACATGGGGGACAACAGGGGACATGGGACACGGGGGACACGGGACATGGGACATGGGGGACAACGGGACAGGGGACATGGGGACACGGGACATGGGGACACAGGGGATATGGGACATGGGGGACTTGGGATATGGGACATGGGGACACGGCATATGGGACATGGGGATATGGGACACGGGGGACACGGGACATGGGGGACTTGGGTTATGGGACATGGGGACCTGGGGGACATGGGGATATGGGACATGGGACATGGGGACACAGGACATGGGGGATATGGGACATGGGGGACACGGGGACATGAGACATGGAGACATGGGGATGTGGGACACAGGGCATGGGGACACCGGGACATGGGTGGCACATGGGGGACACGGGTGGCACAGAGGGGCCATGCAGGGACATGGGTGGCACGGGGGGATATGGGAGGCAGAAGAGGGCCATGGGTGGCACAGCGGGGACACGGGTGGCACAGAGGGGCCACAGGGTGAGCCGGGGGGGACACGGCGGCGTTGGGGACACGGCGGCGCCCTGACCCCGGCCCCAGTTGGGCTTCTTCAAGCGCTCGCTGCCCTACGGCACCGCCATGGAGACGGCGCAGCTGAAACCGCAGGCGGCCTCCGAGGCCTAGGGGACACGGGCACCCCGGGGGCACCGCCGCCCCCGGGGGGCCCCGGCCGCCCCCGCCGCGCGGGAAGGCCCCGGGGCACCGCGTGCCACCCATGCGCCGGGTGCCACCGGGACTGTGGGTGCCACCGATGCTCCGGGTGTCATTGAGACTCCGGGTGCCACCGATGCTCCGGGTGCCACCGATGCACTGGGTGTCACTGGGACTGTGGGTGCCACCAATGCTCCGAGTGTCATTGAGACTCCGGGTGCCACCGGGACTCTGGGTGCCACCGATGCTCCGGCTGTCACAGGGACTCTGGGTGCCACCAATGCTCCGGGTACCACCAATGCTCCGGGTGCCACCCCTGCATCAGGTGTCACCGATGAGCCATGTGCCACCCGTGCACTGAGTGTCACCAATGCACCGGGTGCCACCGTGGCGTGCCGCCAGCCACCGTCACAGGCAGCGGGCAGCGCCGCGCCGTGTCACCACGCCGTGTCACCGCGCCGCCCGTGTCACCCTGTGGGAAGTCCCTGTCACCAGCCCCGGTGCCCTTGTGCCGCACTGGGTGCCGCCGCGGTGACCGGCCCTGGGGGACACCGTGTGACAGGCACCGCCGGGCGCGTGGTGGCACCGCCGGCGCGGGGACGTTGTCACCAGCGGACTGGACAGCAGCACAGGGGGTGGCAGCGTGCTGGGCGCCGCGGTGACGCGTGCACCGCCGTGACACATGTGACACCGTGACACGTGTGACACCGTGACATGTGCGCCACCAGGACGTGCACCACCGTGACAAGTGCGACACCGTGACACATGCAACACTATGCAACACTGGGACGTGCAACACCGTGACACGTGCAACATCGTGTAACACCATGACACGTGGACGACTGATGTGTGCAACACCGTGACACGTGCAACATCGTGCACAGCCGTGGCCTGTGCACTGTTGTGCACCGTCGTGCCACGTGCACTGTCATGCACAACCGTGGGCTGTGCACCACCATGCACCATTGTGCCATGTGCACCATTGTGCACCACCGTGCACCGTCGTGCCACGTGCACCACCATGCACTGTGCACGCCCTGTGCACACGCGGCCCACGCACCGCCGTGCAGGACGTGCCTCTCCGTGCCTTGCAGCGCCGAGCACCGCCGTGCCGGGTGTAGCTCTGTGCACCGCCGTGCCTTGTGCACCAGAGTGCACCACCGTTCCCGACCGTGCACCTCTGTGCCTTAAAGCACCGTCATGCAGGACTATGCACCGCCGTGCACGACTGTGCACCGTTGTGCACCACCGTGCACCGCTGCGCAGGGTCGTGCACCACTGTGGAGCACCGTGCACCGTCATGCAGGACTGCACCGTTTGCACCACCATGGAGCACCATCGTGCACCACTGTGCAGGACTGCACAAGTTGCACCACCGCATGGGACTGTGCACCATCATGGAGCAATGAGCGCTGTTGTGCAGCACCCTGCAGGACTGTGCGGCATCGTACAACACTGCGGAGCACCGTGCACTGCCGTGCAGGACTGTGCAGCACTGTGCACCACCATGCACCATTGTGCACCACCATGGAGCACTGTGCACCACCGTGCAACACTGTGCACCGTTGTGCAGCACTGTGCACCGCTGTGCAGGACTGTGCACCGCTGTGCACCATTGTGCACCACCGTGCAGCACTGTGCACCGCCATGCAGGACTGTGCACCACCGTGCACCATTGTGCAGCACCGTGCAACACCATGGAGCACTGTACACCACCGTGCACCACCGTGTACCATTGTGCATCACCGTGCAAGACTGTTCAGCACCGTGCACCATTGTGCAGCACCGTGCAGTGCCATGCAGGACTGTGCACCACCGTGCACCATCGGTGCGATGCCCGGCCGTGCCCGGGCGCGGGGGCAGCGGCCCCCTCACTTTGCACTGAGCCCGCCCGGGGGGGGACAGGGACAGGGACAGGGACGTGTCCCCCCCCCGCGGCCGGGCGCCTTTGCACTAGGGCTGCAGCTGGTATTTAAGGGTGGGGGCGGCCCCCGCAATAAACGTGTCCTCCCCCCCCGTGCGTGCACGCGCGTGTGCAAGGGGGGGGGCAGCTTGTGCAACGCGGGGGGTGCTCAAGGGACAAGTGTGAGCAATGCACGAGTGTGACGAGTGTGCAAGGAGGCGCGTGTGCAAAGGGGCCCGTGTGCAACACGTGTGCAAGGATGCACGTGTGTAACACGTGTGTGCAAGGAGGGGCAAGTGCAAAGGGGGCCGAGTGCAACACGCGTGCAAGGAGGCGTGTGTGCAACGGGGTGCGCGTGCAAGGCGGGCCGTGTGCAAAGGGGTCCGTGTGCAGCGCGGCGCACGTGCCAGGGATGCACGTGCAAGCGGCACGTGTGCAACACGTGTGCAAGGGGGGTCCATGTGCAAAGGGGTCCGTGTGCAAACAGATCGGTGTGCAGCGCCGCAGGTCGCTGCGGGGGGGCAGGGCGGAGGGCCCCCCCCAATTTGCGGGGCAACCCGCTTGCTGATGGTTCACCTGGTGGTGACAGTCCCCTGCAACCCACCTGACAATGGTTACCTGGCAACCTGCCTAGCAACAGTTGCCCGGCAACCGTACCCCAGGCTTGGGGAGCTGCCACACCGCCAGCAAGCAGGCCCTGGCAACGAGCTTGGCAACGGCTCCCCGGCAACCCCCATGGCAACGGCTACCTGGCAACCAGCCGGTGGTACTTGGCAGTGTGCCCAGTGACTGTTGCTTGGCAACGTGTACACAACAGCAGCTCCCCGGCAACCTGCTTGGCAACAGGTCCTGGAAACCCTGTTTGTTTCCTGGAAACCCCAGCAGTACAAGCCCAGCAACCGGCACCTGGTAACGCTTGCCCAGTAACGGGTACCGGCAGCCATTCCCTGGCAACACTCGCCAGCAGTGGTTGCCTGGCAACGGAGAGTCACCCACGCTCCTAGCAACGATACCCACCAGCAGCCCCTTAGCATGCCCAGCAACGGTTACCTAGCAACCACGCCTGGCGATGCCCCCCCCCCAGCAAGGGCGCTTGGCAACAGCCCCTAGCAACCACCCCGAGCACCCACACCCAGTGACAGCACCTGGAACAGGTCCCTAGCAACAGGCCATGGCAACCGCGCCTGGCAACAGCCCCCAGAGACAGCCTGCCCCCCCCGTGCCCCCCCCCAGCCCCGAGTGTTTCCTGTTTTTCACTGGAATTGGGGCATTTGGGAGGCACCCGGATGCCTCCCGCCCCCAGTGCCCCCCCCAGCACCTCAGGGACCCGACAGGCAGTTGGTGACAACTAGGGGGGCGTCCCCGTGTCCCCCCCCCCCGGGTCGGGGGCACTTGCACTGAGCGCCCCCCCCATCCCCGGAACCCCCCACTGCCCACTGCAATAACCAGGGGTCGGGGCGCTCCCCCCCCCAAACCCTCCTCCCTTTATTGCCCCCCCCGGGGCTGTTGCACTATCACTGCGCCCCTCCCCACAAGCACTGTGGCCCCCAGACCCTTAATGCCCCCCCGAAGTCCCTTGTTGTCCCCATCCTCGCTGTCCCCCCCACAAGTGACACTGTGAGTCCAGCAAAGCAATGGGGGGGGGCACCAATAACCCCCGGCTCCGAGCCCCCCCGCCCGTGTCACTGTCACTGTGTCACCCGCCTGCGTCACAGGGTCCCACCCCTGAGTGTCACCATGGCCAGGTGTCCCCAGGGGGGCTGTGGGTTCGTGTCACCGTCCCCATGTGTGTGTGCAGGGCGGGGGTGTCCCCGTACAGGTGTCCCCGTTGTCCTGGGACACCCGTCACCCCCGTGCGGGTGTCGCCTTGTAGGTGTGCGACCCCCCCGCCAGGTCCCTGTCACCTCATCCGTGTCCCCTCACTGCCCCCCCCCACCGTGTCCCCTCGCACCCCCCGCCCGGACGCCGGGGCCCCGCGGGGGGGGCAGGCAGAGGCGCAGGCAGCTGTTGGGGGGGGCAGCTCGTGTTGGCACCGGGGGGGTCCCGGGGGGGGTCCAGGCACCCCGGGGTGGGGGGTTAGCGCAGCAGCGACCAC